CCATCTTGGTAGACACTCCATGTGTGCGCAAATAAGTATAAAAAATAGAAATTATTACTTTCTTTTATAGTTGAGGAAAATTGCTCAGAAAAGTGAGCTAACCTAACCAAGGCCATACAGCTTATGAGAGGCAGAGCTAGGACTCAACCTCACATATAATCATTTTTTCCCAACATTTATTATAAAACTTTCAAACATGCTGCAAAGTTGAAACAATGGTACTTATATACTCATCTCTTAGATTCTACATATTTTATTGTATTATTTTATCATGTATCATTCCCTCATCTGTCTAATTTTTTTGATGCATTTTAAAGTAATTGCAGGCATCCATAATCTCTTTTTAACAGCTTTATTGAGATATAATTCATATACTATACGGTTCACCCATTTAAAGTGTACAATTGCATGGCTTTTAGTATATTCGTAGATAATGTGCAACCATCACACAATCAATTTTAGAACATTGTCATTGTCCCAGAAAGAAACCCCACACCCCTTAGCTGCTACCCCAGTCACCCTATTTCCTCAGCCCTAAGCCACCACTAATCTATTTTCTGTCTCTCTAGATTTGCCTATTCTAGATTTTTCATATAATGGAAACATAGAATATGTGGTCCTTTGTAGACTGTTTTCTTTCACTCAAAATAATGTTTTCAGGGTTCACCCACATTGTAGCATGTATCAGTACTTCATTTCTTTTTTATAGCTGAATAATATTTCATTATATGGATATACCACATTTATTCATTTATCAGTTGATAGACATTTTGGTTATTTCCACTTTTTGGCTATTATGAATAATACTGCTGTGAACATTCATGTACAAGTTTTTGAGTAGACATAAGTTTTCATTTCTCTTTGGTGTATATCTAGGAGTGGAATTGCTGTGTAACTCTGTGTTTAGCCTTTGAAGGAATTGCCAGACTGTTTTCCAAGGTGGTTGCACCATTTTAATTCCCACTAGCAGTGGGGTGAAGGTTCCAGTTCTCCACATCCTCACCAATACTTGTTATTATCTGATTGATTATATTGACTACACCCCTTTTCCTCCTGTCAACTCCACCTCAACATCAAGCCCCAAAACATCGTGTTATTCTAGTCCTATCAAGACACCTTTGTGGCTGTGTGATTTTGATCAACTATAGATCTGACTCAGTTTCCTTACCTGTAAAGTGAGTTAGTTGATCTAGCTTCTTGAGTACTTTCAAAGTGGCCACACAGTGTACAGGTTAAGAACTTGAGTTATAAAGTCAGACAAACCTGGATTCAAATCCTTTCTCTCTCACTTAATAGCTGTGTGTCCCAGGGCAGGTCACTGTATCTCTCTGAGCTTCAGTTTCCTTATCTGTAAAATGAAATTAATACCGACTACCCTCTTAGGGTTTTTAAAATGAATTCATTTAGTAGGCACTGAATAAATGGTAGCTATTGCTGCTGCTGCTGGTGGCATATTTTAATCTGTTGTAGGTTTTATGAACCATGCTTAATATCAAATAAGATTCTCTGAAAGACCATATAGTTTGTGGGCCAAGAGGTTGGGGTAGTAGCTTGTGGAACATATGCCAAAGATGTCGCATGGGTCTGCTTTTCTTCAGCATGGTTGCCGTGACAGCCATGCTCCCCTCCCTGCCACTCAACACTGATTCTTAGCTTAGGAGAGTCAGGCACAGCCCTTCCCTTAAGTCCTAAGGGACTGACACTTTGAAGCACCACTTTTAAACAATCTCTAGCCCCTCCCTGGTAAGGAGAGAAAATAATGAATTTATCAAATACTACAAACACCAAAAAACAGTGGGCTAAAATAGGACAGTCATGAAAATACAATATATTAACATAATCTTATGGCATCTGGCAAACTTAAATAAATGATTATGTAATTATTGAAAGGAAGAATGTTGGTGATGTCCCAAGATAAAAATTACCTTAAACATAGAAATTCCATGTATTCCTGAAAAGTTTGTGTATTATAACCCAAAACAAAAAACCAAACCCGTTGCCGTCGAGTCGGTACCACCTCATAGTGACCCTATAGGACAGAGTAGAGCTGCCCTGTAGTTTCCAGCCAGCACCTGGTGGATTCGAACTGCCGGACTTTTGTTTAGCAGCTGTAGCTCATAACCACTATGCCACCAGGGTTTCGTTATGTATTATAGATGTGGTTAAAAATAAGAAGAAAGAAAGGGGGGTAATTTTAAATGTTTGAGTTCTGTCATTTCTGATCTTTTATTATGAAATCCTGTGAGGCTCACATGCTAATGTTAGGCTTGTGCTTGTCTGAGTAGTACTCAATGGTAGTATATTCTCCTGCTGGGATGAGTCCTGTCCAGCTTTGTCAAACAGAGAAGCTTCCATTTTAGTCACCATTAGCCAGATACATTTTTATCCTTCTCTTTTCTTTACCCTCTGTTTATAGTCTTCTTTAATTTGTAGTCATCAACCTTTCTCCTACCTATTTAGCTCTGTTTAGTTCCTGGGACTCCACACTTGACATACCCAGTCTATCCTCTTCACCACTATAACTCATTTTCGTTTTTATAATTTATTTTTGTTGTTGAGAATCTACACAGCAAAACAACACCAATTCAACAGTTTCTACGTGTACAATTCAGTGACGTTGATTACAATCTTCAAGTTGTGTGACCACTCACCCTCCTTTTCCAAATTGTTCCTCCCCCATTAGCATAAACTCTCTACCCCCTAAGTTTCCTATCTAATTTTTCAAAGATTATTCATTTTCTTAAAATACTGTCTTCATCGTGTGACTCCCCCACTCAGTAGTCTACTTTGGGCCCATTACTCTCTATTCGTTTCACCATACTTATTCAGTCTGTATGCTGAGCAATAATCCGAGAAGCTGGACTATACGAAGAAGAATGTGGCATCAGGATTGGTGGAAGACTCGTTAACAACATGCGATATGCAGATGACACCACCTTGCTTGCTGAAAGTGAAGAGGACTTGAAGCACTTACTGATGAAGAGCAAAGACTACAGCCTTCAGTATGGATTACACTTCAACATAAAGAAAACAAAAATTCTCACAACTGGACCAGTAAGCAACATACATCATGATAAACAGAGAAAAGACTGAAGTTATCAATGATTTCATTTTACTTGGGTCCACAGTCAACACCCATGGAAGCAGCAGTCAGGAAATCAAACGACATATTGCATTGGGCAGATCTGCTGCAAAAGACCTCTGTAAAGTTTTGAAAAGCAAAGATGTCACTTTGAGGACTCAGGTGTGCCTGACCCAAGCCATAGTATTTTCAGTCGCTTCATATGCACACAAAAGCTGGACAATGAATAAGGAGGACTGAAGAAGAATTGATGCCTTTAAATTATGGTGTTGGTGAAGAATATTGAATATACCATGGACTGCCAGAAGAACAAACTAGTCTGTCTTGGAAGAAATAGCCGGCGTGTTCTTGGAAGCGAGGATGGTGAGACGTCATCTCACGTGCTTTGGACAAGTTATCAGGAGGGACCGGTCCCTGGAGAAGGACATCATGCTTGGTAAGGTAGAGGGTCAACAAAAAAGAGGAAGACCCTCAACGAGATGGATTGACACTGTGGCTGCAACAATGGGTTCAAACATAGCAATGATTGTGAGGATGGTGCAGGACCGAGCAGTGCTTCATTCTCTTGTACATAGAGTCACTATGAGTCAGAACCGATTCGATGGCACCTAACAACAACGACAACACTATTCCTTGGTCCCAACTCCTCTGCCTAGCTTTTAAACCTGATTTCCCTCTGTTCTCCAACATAGACCCACTATTCAAGTTAAATGTCTCCTATACGTTTCTACCTCCAGCTCTTCACCCATTCTCTTTCTCTACCTGGAATCTCTGATCTTATCCTTTAAACTGTTCCAATCCTCTGGTCCTTAGATGCCCTACGAAAGTTCCGTCTTCATGTAGAGTAAACCTTATCGGTGGTCCTAAGTTCTAAAGATACAAGAAGAATAAAATAATCCCTTCTCTCAGAAAGCTTTATCTTCCTCCATTTTTCCCAGTTTTTACTCAGCTACAGCCACACTAGTCTACTTTCTGTCTCTCAAGCATGCTACACTAGTTCCTGTCTTGGGAACTTTATACTTGCTATTCTTCTGCTTAAGATACTCTTCCTCCACATCTTCACAAGCCTCGATTCTTCTCATCATTCAGGTTACAACTCTCATTGTTGACGAGAGTTGAATAGGGAAGAGGCCTTCCTTGACCATTCCAGCTAAGCCAGCCCCCAAGTACTCTCTACCATACGCTCCTGTTTATCTTCATCTTACTCATCCATACCTGGAATCTTCTTGGTTTTTCTGCCTCCTCCTTTAGAACGTAAACTCCCAAGGACAGGCACTCTGTTTGCTTACCACAGTACTCCCAGTACTTTGAACCGTGCCTGGTACATAGCAGGTCCTAAGTAAATATTTGTTGACTGATATGTCCCAGACACTGTGCATGACTGTGGGATGATAGGCCCTTCTGGTTCTGGCATTCTAGGGCTCTGAATCATGAACATCCAGGTGAGTGAGCTGTCCAGTGTTGGGATAAGCTACTGGTGACTCCTGGAAGGTTTGTTTCCATTGATGTGCCATTTATCTTCTGATGAGATCGGCTTAATTGTGTGCTATTTTTTTTGCCTCCCCATACAAAGCTCAGAGCAGAATAAGAATGGCTTCAGTATTATAAGTATGCTCAAAGCTAACCTGGGCTGCTGGCATCCCTGCAAATGCTGTATGTTGAGAAGATTGTGGAAAAGCCATGTTGCTGTTGTGGTATGGCCTTGTGACAAGCTGTCCATTCCAGGGACTAAGAGCTCTAATCCTAGTTATACCCACTGGCATGTCCTGTCACCCTAGGCAACTCAATTTCTTTGTACTTTTAGTTTCTTCCTTTGCAGAATGGATTTTTGGGGTTAAATGGGTTTGGGGGTTGAATGTGAAGGAAAAATATTCAAAGCTTACATAAAATTCTGATTTCCCCCTCCTCCCTTTCTCAGATGTGAACGATTAGAAGAACAACTAAATGACCTCACGGAGCTCCACCAGAATGAAATCTTGAACTTGAAGCAGGAATTGGCCAGCATGGAAGAGAAAATTGCATATCAGTCTTACGAACGAGCCCGGGACATCCAGGTTAGCATGAAGGATGAGGCATAAAGGAAAAGACTAGAGAATTAGAAAGAAAGAAGAAAAAAAAAAAAGATGAGGCGGATAAGAGTTTCAAGAGAAACTTACACCAGCTGTAATACACCTGAGATGCATTTCTCATAGGGATGGTATACCTGCTTGGGTTCTTGGGAAATGTTTCTTAGGGTCACAGTAGTGCCAGTATATGGAAAACTGCATGCATTACATCTATTGGTTACTGCTTCAAGAGGTGCTCTGACGAGTCTCCCAGCCATCTTGCCTGTCTTTTCCTTCTATGAGGAAGGGGCTTTCGTCCTCCTAGCTGCCACATCCAAACCTTTCACAGGCAGCTTGTGAACATAGCACATGAGATAGTAATGTTTAAAGCCAATAGCCAACTGTTTTGTTCTATGGGGAAATAGAACATTTAACCTTTTTTTTTTAAAAAAAAAAAAACCCCAGTTGGGAAGCATTTCTAAGGAAACAGTTCTTAGTGGTTTCATATGAAATCATCATGAAATAAGCTAGTCAGAGAAGGAAAGTAGCCCAGGAAACTTGTGTTACAGCAGTGTAAAAGAATCAAGGGAATAGCAGATCATTTGCCCAGCTGCCATCTTCTGCAGACCCCAGAATTCTGTTTTGGGTTTATTTTTTTTCCTCCAAGATCTTTATGTGCTGAGCAGCATCCGCTGTCTGTTCCCTAGCTGGCCTCATTCTGAAGTTGCCAGGGCCTCACTTCAAACACCAGGAAACCAGGACCAGAAAAACCAGGGCTCCACCATTGCCGAATATTGGAGCATGTCTGACCGCAGCTAGGGAAATGGGTTCTGTCCCCTGAATATTGTGATGAAATTTATATAATGACCTTGAGAATAGTAGATCATTTTTAATGTTTGATCTAGTCCTCAGTCATAGTGTTCCCTTTACAGAGATAAGCCTAAAAAGGGGTGCATACCCAGGTAGTGTATACAAGGAAGCATGTCCAAAGGATGCTCACTGCATCACTGCTATAGTGGGAGACAACCTAAATATCCCCAGGAGGAAACTGGTTAAGTAAACTGTAACATATCCATTCTTTAAAATGTTTTGCAGCTCTTGAAAAGAATGAGGTAGATCCTTACATATTGATGCAGAGAGATTGCTAAGGGCCACCGTTGAGTGACAAAAGCGAATTGCAGATCAGTTCCCATCGTATAATACTATTTATATTAAAACAGAAAATCAAAAAATAGCTCCATACATTTCCCTAGACACACTGATGTATATACTTAAACACAGGTGAAGGGATGAAGACACACCAAACTAACAGCATGATCTCAGGACAGGGACTGGAATTGAGGAAAATATCAAGGGAAATGTCCTATATGGACTTTTTTATGTTGAACAAGTATTTGTGTACTGTGTAACTTAAATGAATGATTTTAAATTTAAAAAAATAAGCAAGTCATTTATTTGAGGACTTGTCATTAAAATGTTCAAGACCAAATCTAAGTGTGGCCACTGCTTCCTGTTAGCCATCCTATAGAAATTCAGTGGAGGGCAATTAGGTGAATAATAGTCACTTGAACATGAGTTATGCCTTTGGCCTTTCACATTCAAGCCATAGCATATTTAAAATCATTGGCACAGCTCAGGAGGCATCTGGCATGCCCAAGAGGCATGTCAGCCACTCGGAGTACATGTGAGCAGAAGGCTTAACTATTCACTGTTCTGGCCCACAGGAGGCCCTGGAAGCATGCCAGACCCGCATCTCCAAGATGGAGCTACAACAGCAGCAGCAGCAGGTGGTGCAGCTGGAAGGGCTGGAGAATGCCACTGCCCGCAACCTTCTGGGCAAACTCATCAACATCCTTCTTGCCGTCATGGCGGTCCTTTTAGTTTTTGTCTCCACGGTGGCAAACTGCGTGGTTCCCCTCATGAAGACTCGCAGCAGGACGTTCAGCACTTTATTCCTTGTGGTTTTCATTGCCTTTCTCTGGAAGCACTGGGATGCCCTCTTCAGCTATGTGGAACGGTTCTTTTCGTCCCCCAGATGATGCTGGTACAAGAAGGCAGCTGCTTCCCTACCCTCTGGCGAGTGCATGCAGCGAAGGATTAGACAGCATCTTAACCTACTCTGAAGTTTTCTACAACAACAAAAGAGTTGAGTGAATCTGTTTACATTTAGAATAATGTTTTTTTCTTCAAGAGACACAATTGCAATAGTATTTTTTAGATTTTATCCAAGAAGTTTTTTGGGCAAAAATCTTGGATCATTTTTATGTAGCATGATTTTCCTTGGGATGCAAATCTTCAACAGTCCTTTAACATGAACCAACAATCTGGAGCACACTGAAGGGCATTCTAAATTGTGGCTTGAATGACTGCACTAAAAACCCACTAAAGAAATGAGAAAACCTGATTAGGGCAAACCATTTGAACCTAGCACCCTGCCTTGTCTGGGCTCGCCACCTTTCTCCTTCCCAGACTAACTTTACTGTGAAGTCCTACCACATTCCATGTCTGAATTGTTGGATTCAGGGTGGATTTTCCTTGTCCATGGAAGAACACGTGGATCTCCTTCACTTTCTCATACAAGTTGGCCACACATGCTAACCTTGGAAGTATGGTCACTTTTGAACCTGGCACCTTAGCCTTTGCTAGGACACAAAAGTGAGAGCATCATGCCCCACAGGATCATTGCACAGTCCTACTACAGTATTTTGAAGTAGCCCTCTAAATAATTTTAAGTGAACTCCTTTGGCCGCACTTTTAAGGTTTTGTTTTGTTTTTAATATGTGTATAGTCACCAATTTAAAAACAAAAAATCTGAACAGCATACTTGAAGAATGTAATACTCAAACTCTCAGTGCTTCCTTATGGTTTCTAATAGGATTTTTTATTATTGTTATTATTATTATTGGGTTTTTTGGAAAGGGTTGGGAGGGTCTTTTATTTTTTCTTTGAAATAAAGAAGTGATGTTTTTAAATGAAGAAATGGTGTGGATACTTCAGTGTGCTGCTCCCTCTTGTCTTGAAACAGTTTGAGTAAAGTAAGACTTGCTGTAAATGCTGCCCTCTGCCGCCCTTGTTTTGAGATGCAGCTTAAACTCTCTCCTCTGGCTGCTGCTGCTGCTTTTTGGTATCCCTCCCACCCCTACACGACCATTTTATGGGCTTGACTTGGTTGGAGAGGAAAGGGGTGTGTGGGGAGAGAGGGAGGCTGTTACCACAAACCATTATGGTAGGATAGGGATTTTGTTGTTTGTTTTTTTTTTTTAATCCCCAAGAAAATGTCTACCCAATGACCTTGGGCTGGGGTTGTCTTTAGGAAAAATTGAGACTATTATGAGAGTTATAAATAATTCCTTATGTTTCCTTAATTTATTTTTAACACCTCCTAATTACTGAAACCAAAGTGATGTGGAGTCTTCTGTCTGCATTTTGGCCCCAGCATCCTTAATTTCAAAGCTTTATTCTGTCTGCCTGAGAGAATCAAATGAAGGTGGTTCTCCCTAAAGAGCAGAAAAGGAAATGTCAGATTGGAAGGACCCAGGTTTTGGGTGTGAACTTTGGCCAGCTTCCTGTTAATCTAGACTGACTTACTAGCATAAGTGTGCTCAGTGAACATGTACAGACAGTTTAGAAAAATTGAGCCTTCTTCCGCATCCTATAACCAATTTCATCACCCTGGTGGAACTGGAATTTTAGAAGTTTACCTGGAGAGCTTTGTTTATCTTTTTATAGTATTTGTAGTATTGGGTCACACCTGCTGTTCCCTCTTGGCCTCAGTTTGTGCAACCAAGTGATGAGCAAGGGGCGTATAATATGTCCTGAAAAGTGTAGCAAAGCATGTATTGCATATTTCCCCCATACCAGGAAATGCTTTTGGAACTAGATTAGCATTGCCCTAAGAGGATGGTTTACAGGACAGCTCCAGCCTCCTTTTGTTTGGACAGGCTGGCCTTCTCAGAGTCAGCATGTTGTTTCCATAATCACTTTGATATTTTAACTCAGGTACCCCAATCTTTGCCCACCTCCAGATGATTGTAGTACACCTATTAGCTCTTTTGCCCTCACAAAATTAGCACCCAGAACAGGGACCACATGGGTGGTTTTTCTTTTAAAATATAATTGCAACCAATTCATATTCATACCAAAAACAAATTGTTCCCAAGCCTATATACTTAAAATGTTAACTTTGCCTAAAAACAGTGCAGTGACCTTAGGCAGACGTGCCAAGGGACCCTAAAAACTGGTCGAAATAGCACAGATTCTCCTCCCTTTCTGCTTTAGCTAAACACTCAGAGAAGAGAGCCCCACAAAGTTATTGAAAAGATACTTTATCTGCAATCCTCTAATTTTTCTAAGTTAGAGCCTTGGAGTCCCCTAAGCTGTGTAGAGGCTACTAAGTTTGGTGGGCTCTGGAAGATGTATTGAAAGCCTTCCCATTTGCCTTGGGACAGTTTCTATCAAAGGGAGATTTTGACCTCTGGAAGGCCCCCTGGGCTCCCAGCCAAACAGGCCCACACTGGCTTTCCATCCTTCTTTCTCAAACTGTCTTAGGAAGGACCTTCAGTCCAGGTTAGGCACAGTAATGGCTTTCTAGCTTTCTTGTCCCCTTTATTGTTGACTGGGCCCAACAGTTGTCTGCATTTAATGCTATTAGTAATCATGCATCTGTTTTCATGCCCTCCCTCTCTTTCTACTTCTGCCGCCCATCCCTGTTGCCTTTGAGTTTCTTTGCATCGTGGCTATTCCTAAGTTCTCTTGCATATTCAGTCTAACAGTTTAACAATTGTTCTATGGTTGGAAACTTACCCTAGCTTTAATGCTTCTTCTCTTACAAAGACTGTGTGCATTCCCCTTGAAATGAAGCATTCCTGGATTACTTGTAAGTGCTGGTGCCTAGCCTGGGTGAGTGAGGCTGGCTGGATTGGCCTGGGTGATGCTGTTCAAGCTGTAGAATGACTAACATTCTACACTTTTTATGATAGTTGAAGGGCACTTCAGCCTGCCCCAATTTCAATTCCTTGGTATATGTACTCATTGCATCCTAGTAAGGAAGGCTTTCTACTCCACTGGGTCCTTAAGAAGCAACAGTAGGTTGAATTCTACACTTACAGACTGGAATCTTCTGTCTCTCCTGTACCTCTTCTACCCAATTGAGGCAAAAATCTGATGCCAAGAAAAACACTGGGATTAAGCCTTCCTTGCTAGCCATGTACTAATGGTGTATTTTCATGTGATCTTCACTGCACTTGGTTTTGTTTCTGATTTCTTGTTTCTTTGCGGTACAGTCAGATGAAATGTTCAATTCTGAGTGAGTTCCAGTGAGGAGCTGTCTTTCAGTTTTGGGAAATATGCATCCGAAACAAAACCAAACATTATAATCAACAAACTGACACAGGGAAAATTATGGTTCCCACCCACCCATCCCCAACCCCAAATGAAACTGGGAATTTTGAATGTGGCTCTAAGAGTTAACATTTCTGTCTGTGTGTTGTGTATGCTAGGTGATACCCTCAGTAGGCATTGACTACTAGACTGTAAGTGTGTATTATCAAAGTGTGTAAGAATAAAAACTCACTTGCACGAATTGAAAAGTACAGAAATGACACTTGTGAACGTGTGAACGTTAACACTGTAGTTGATAGATCTTAAGCTGCTAATTGTTGAGAGAGAATTACATTTATGTTTTGTCTGGTCGCTGCAGATTCTCAGCAGCACTTTTACTGTATATAAAAATTGAAATAAAGACCTCAGCTATTAACGTGGTAGTCAGACTCAACTTTGTTTTACTGTTTATCTTTGCATGTTCTATTTCCACTGACAAGTTTGTCAATATGAAAACTTTCCACTATAGTTTGTTCATTAGAGAGTGTGTGTGTGTGTGTGTGTGTGTGTCTTTGTGTGTTTGTGTGTGGTGTGTTTATAGCCAGTATCTTAAAACCATAATTATTAGGTGGGTAGCTGTCACCATCTCCCTAGATTTTATAGACATTATTTCAGACTGGCACTTCCCCACAATTCCTAAAAAGTAGATAAGACTATTCTTTAGTCTTTAGAGGGGTATAGAGGCAGTGTCCCCCAAATTCAGCATCTGTGACCCAAAAATGGGTATAATAATCCTTGTCCATTCTTACAAGGCTTTGCTAATAAACAAATGTTATGATGGGTATAAGCATGCAATTTACAAACATTCAAACATGTAATTTACAAACATTCAAATGTTCATGAAACATTTGACATTTAAACTTGTGTATACATGTGAGGGGTTATTATCCAGTCTAATTCCATCTGTGGTTTTGTTACAGAGGTAGCAGTTTCTATTAGGACTTTTCCCTGGTGCTCTATGAGAGACTTCTGGAAATCTAGATGCTCTAGTGCAGAATCTTGACTTTGATGGAGTACCAAGTGGGGACCTGATGACTTGGTCCTTAGCCCCAGTTTGAATGTTGAGGAATTTGGGTTACACTTCTGATGAACTCTGTGCCTCTTACCCCATCAATAAACTGGACATATTACACCCACCTTGATCCTATCTAGTGGGTGTTGTAAGAGTCAGGGATGCCTCTTGTGAAAGCTTTTAAAAGAGCTGAGAGAGTGCCTTTAAGCTTCATGAAATAGGTTGCAATGTACAGATGTTCATGTTGTACATTGTCCAACCCAAGGGGCTCCATAGTAGGCAACAAAATGAATGACATGTCCTAGAGTTGTGCAGCTCATAATGGGCGCCAGAGCAGCCCTGATTATATGTAATTTCAAAGTCTGTTTCATTATCATCCATTAAAAAATTAGGAGAATGGAAGGCTGGTAACATAAATCAGAGAAGCTGCTGTATGGAAAACGGGAGATTGGAGAGGCAGGGAAGGATGTGCAAACTAGAAAGTGGATGCCTCACCTAAAGGATCCAAATGTATTATTTTTAAACTATGAGCCAAACTAAACACCTAGCCAACTTGTCACTTCTCATCTAGGTAATGAAGAGTATTTATTGAACGCCAGGCTTAGTGCTTGGTACTGACGTGCAGTTACATCACTTAATTCTTCCAACAATCTTACGCAGGAGGTATCATCGTCATTCAGGTGAAATGGCTTGCCCAAATTTATACTGTTATTAAATGGAAAATGAATGGGATGGAAAATAGGATTATGCAACATATGTAACAAAAAATGAGTGTACACAATATATGAGTTCCTACAAATCAAGTAAACACAGTCAACTCAGAAAAATAGGTGGAAGTTATGAACAAATAGTTCACAGAAAAACAAATGGCCACTAGGTATTCTGAAAAATGTGTTCAGCCTCAAGGATAATCAGGGCAGTAAATGAAAAAAAGCCAACTGTGGAACGGTGTATTTTCTCCCATTTATGTTGAAAATATTTTTGTGTAAATATATGTGATGTATAGAAACTGCACATGGGACTGTCCCTAGTATTTATTTCTGGGAAAGGGGATGAGAGGGATGATGAGGAAGCAGGAACTTCATGCTTGACTACTGTAAAATATGAATCTCTTTGAAATACGAATGTATTTGTGTATTTTTTAATTAAAAATATCGAAACTTTTTTATTTTAAAGAAAGTACTAGGTCCACTGAGGAGAGGTGGAAAAGAGTTGACAGTGTTCCTAAAGCTGGATTATAACAGGTCATCTTTTGCCTTAGGATTGTCTTAGAAGGGGCTCTGGACAAAGTTCAAGCTTTCCTCCAGCTGGATTTCTAGGCTTGGTGGTCAAATGGATGCCCCGCAGTCAGAGGAGAAGCACGTGTGGAGGTGTGTGCTAAACTGAGGAAAGAGGAACTTGGTAGAACAAACACATGTTGTAATAGAGGTAGAGCCATGTGTGGGAGTGAAGAGGAGGAAGTAATTCTGACATAGGCCAATTGGGAAAAGCTCAGTGGAGGAAGCAGTGGCATATGGGCTGAGAGAAGGTGAGGTTTTGATAAGTGGAGGTGAGTGGGGAGGACATTCCAAGTTGAAGGAACAATACTAGCAAAACCACAGAGGTGAAAAAAGCCAAGGTTAGCGGTTCAGTCAATGGATGGGAGCCTTGAGTGGCTAGTTGAGTACCTGGAAGAATGTACAAAGTTAAAATGGTAGGTGGAGGCTAAGTTGCAAGAAATCTTGAATGCCATGCTGAAGGGTTGGAGTGCAGCGACCAAACCTTGTGTTTAAAACATAAGAGATAGTTATATTTCTTTCAAAAGGAACCAGGAGCCTGTTTTTAATATCATCTAAATTAGTGGAGAGGTTGGGAAATGCTGCCCAGGCTATTTGATGTTACTGCCTATTGATCTTGTAATGGGGGGAGCGTCACAATTTTATTTGATAATCTGGAATTGAAGGTATAGGAAGCTCAGAGTTCAATTTTTATTTAAAAAAAAAAAAAAAAATCCCTGTCACCTTTAGCATTAGAATCCTTAAATACTACAGCAAGAGTGCTTGGGAAAACTTATTAATGAATGATTAAGCTGTTGAATAGAATTGTCTTTATGTTTTGGAAGACTTTGATTCAATAGTTATTGAGACTCTATTAAAAAGGTACAGCAAACCATAATGAAAATGAATTATAACAACCACTATAAAGAGCAAGTTATGAAGATTAAATTGAGTAATTGTACAGTTCATAGCCCACAAATGGTTTTAATATTAGTAGACTGAGAATTTCTTGAGGACAAGGACTTGACTCACTCATCTGGATCTCTTCAGAATATTATCACGTCTCCTGTTCTCACCCAACAAAGGGCCCAGTAGCCAGAATTTTGGAGTGTCTCTGGCCAGCCCTGGCTCTTGAAACCAGGGAACCCAAAATCAGTATGTGTCAGAGAATATTCCAGCATAGAAACAACAAAAGAACATCACAGCCATAGTGAACAAAAACTTGCATATGGATACACATAAAATTGGCTAATGATAGATTTTACTTGTGATTTCTTAACCCGTAAGTTGACAAGGACATTGTTGTGTTCATGTTATGTGCTCAGTGCCTGGAAGAATGCCTGGAACAAAATAGGTGCTCATTAGAGTGTAATTTAAAAATTGCTGTTAATTGAATCCCTCTTCTGTGCCAAGCATCGTGCCACTTGTTTAACTTCTATTTCTTATAACTTCTCTGAAAAGGAGGTGATATGATTTCCATTTGACAGATGAAAACAGAAGCTCAGATAGATTGTTTGGATTTTATGCTATAGATAAGTCATTTCACTAGTAAATGGCAAAGCCAGGATCTGAACTCAGTTGAGTTAGACTCTGAAGCCCATGATGTTTCTACTATTCCATTTTGCTGGACAAGGAATCAAAATTTGTGGATTTTAGACTTTGTTCAAATTTGAGAAGGCAAGTCACTTAATTTTTCTGGACCTCAATTTCCTTACTGTAGAGAGTGTGAACTAAGTCACCTTAGTTCTCTTCCAGCAATAAATTTTCTTGGTGTTTAACACCCAGCTCTTGATCTCCTTAGGAGGATAGACCATAACTACTGAAAAGATTAAACAGCCAGAAAGAACAAGATGGAAGTTTGTAGCTGAGATCTAGACATCTCCCATAGCAGGGGCAGATAGTCAGGGAGGGATTTGAAGCAAATGTAACAAAATGTTAATGTGTTCTATCTGTATGATGGGTGAGTACCTAGGTGTTAAATCCTCTTACTGTATGAAATATTTCATTACCTAAAAAAAAAAAAAAAATTAATAACATAAGGAATCATTGGGCAAATCCCCCACAATATGATCTTCCGTTTGAACGGGGAAAGAAAAATCTCTTCAATAAATGGTGCTGGGAAAATTGGACTTCCACATGTAGAAAAATGAAACAGAATTCATGCCTCACACCATACAGAAAAACAAATTCAAAATGGACTAAGGACCTAAATGTCCAAACTAATACCATGAAATTCTTAGAAGAAAATGCAGGGGCAACGCTGTCAGGCCTAGCTTTTAACAATCGATTATCTAATGTAATAACAAAAGCACAAACAGCAAAACACAAAATAAATGGGACTTCATAAATGTTAAAAACTTTTGTTCATCAAAAGACTTTACTAGGAGGCAGGGCCAAGATGGCAGAATAGTCAGATGCTTCCTGTGGTCCCTCATACAACAAAGACCCAAAAAAACAAGTGAATTGGTTATGTATGACAATCTAGGAGCCCTGAATGTCAAAGGCAAAGTTGAGGAATCAGACTGAGTTGCAGGCAAGGGAGAGATGGTTCAGAAGCAGTGAGGAGTTGCCAGATCTGACCTGGCGGGAACTGGCACCCTGCAGGCCAGATTGGCTGGCATGCGCAGTGAGGCAAGCAGTGATGTTCAGGACATGTTTTCCATATCAGGAGAAACCAAGCAGCAGAGAGTCTACTCACGCCTCCAGAAACAGTGAAAAGGGGCACTTAGTGGGTAAAAGGTAAGTACATGCGTCTAACCTACTGCACGGATCAAAAAACACCCCATTTGGGGAGAAACTCTCTCCTATTTACATGCCTCCTCCCTGCTCTGCACCAGGTCCTGGGCCATCTTCAGTGATTGCCGCATCCCCTGGGCCGGAGTAGGACCCATCATGTGCCCTGAGCCATTCTCCTGGCCTTGGAGAGGGAACAAACTAACAAACAGGGAAAAAATAATCTGCCAGCTCCCCTAAGCTGGGAACTCAGGGCAGGCACAGCTCCTTTGCCTAGGCACAGGCATAAGGGGTCCACAGACTTTGAATGCCTTTCACCCCTGCGTGGGCCCATTTCAACAGCGTAGGCCCTCATTAGCACAATACAACCAGGTA